CCCCAAAACCCCAAAACCCCAAAACCCCAAAACCCCAAAACCCCAAAACCCCACTAGGAGGGATAATAACAAATTTAGCAAAAATTACCAAAAATATGCTGAAAGTTAATGAAGTGAGGAAGAGCCTCAACTGAGGAAGTACTAATAATATCAAAGGGGAGAAAAGACCTAGCTATGATCACAGAGTCTTTAATATGTCCAATTCAGTTGAAGGTAAGGACTATTCGAATACATTTATTAGATTAGGTGATAAATTCTAACGTCACCCTATCGGTTTCTTATGTGGATTACCAGAAATATAGAATTTTCGATTCAAAACAATTACAAGCCTGAATCTCAGTGTAAGTTTATGATACCAAGATATCGTATGCTAATTTGATTTTTAGACCTCTCAAGAAATAATTACAAAACCAACACTCACTTCAAGCCCCACAACAGAGTAAGAAAGTTTTGTTTGAGTAGAATAATTTCTTTTAGTCATATCAGGCTCTTGACCCATACTTGAACGAAAGAATCAGGCATGAATCCAACAAAATTATTATCGAAAACAATGGACATTCTGGTGAAAATGGCAACTTTACTTGACTAAGTGGAACTCAAGTGTAAGATTGGTCATAATTAGTATTAGATCAAACAAAAATAAAACAAAACTAGCCAAATGTGAAACATCATACAATGTAATATCTATTGATAACTGATAGATCAATGATTCAAGCCTTCAATACGTTCTGAAGAAATCGAAGCAACAAGGTTCCAGAGCTCAAAACCGGAAAAAGTATGAAAACATATGATATAACCTCATTTAGAAGGACCAACCAGCTGCTGAACTACTTCTTCAAATAAATCAATGAAGCACAATAAGCAACTCTGAGAAACATTCAGCGACATCGACAGCATTTTCCCAATGAAAATGACTAGTTTCAGCAGAGAAAAGAGTATTCCTTCTTTATTATTCATAGTAGTGTTGTCTCGAAACACAAAGATGAAGCATTGCACTCCTAAGAGAAGCAAAGACGCCAAGATATTCAAGAAGGCTTCTCTTAACAAATCAAGAGCCACAGTATCGAGAAAATCCAGAGTTCAGTATAAACACTTCAAAAACGCAGATTTACCAAGAGTGGATGCCAGGAGAATGACGTTTTACAAGTATGATTTTCATATTTATTAATAGAGATGGCGATACTTCAAATATCAATGGAGATAGCAATCACCCTGAGATAAAAATTACAAAGCCAGATGTTCATCCTTATGATTCAAAGCAGAAGACCTTTAAATAGAGTGCTTAACAAGAGTTACAGCAATTGTCATATTTCAAGAAAGGATAAATTAACCAAGAATTTGAAATTATCTGGGAGCTCTGTTGAACTTAAAAGCACTCAAAAATCTAATATGAAGCAAAAGATTCCAAGATCTCCTTACGGAAACTTCCTTGAAATTAAAAATAATACAAGATGCAACCTCTCAGAACAAAGTAAAATAATATTATGACAAATAGAGAGTCAGAAGAGCAATGCTAGAACAGATAAATCTGATTCCAGAGATGGGTAAGCCAGTTTAATCATTTTAGATACCTCTCTTCTCGAAGAAGTAATGACACTGAAGACTTCTGGGCAGCTACTCCAAACTGTCTATCCGTCACAAGACTTGAATCATCAGTCAAAACCAAAGACGCCACTATCCACCAATTCGAGACCAAACTTCCTAGCGAAGATCTCTCAAGTCTCCACAGTAAAAGCACTGTATCACACGAAGAGAACCTCCTCAACCACTCCGAAGTCTACCCCCCAATACTCCCCATCCGTATCCACCTAACCTACAAGAACAAGTCCAAACCTCCAGTACTCCCCAAAGTACCTCTCCCCCTCACCTCTAGAGCCCTCCTCACAACCCCACCTCCACTTATAACCTGCCCGTGCCAAGACATAGAGCTTCTAGGCGGAAATCCAATAATAAAATTTGTATATCAAAAGAACTGTTTTAAAACTATTTCTGTTTCAACTACCAAAATATAGGCTGGGGTTTTGGGGTTTTGGGGTTTTGGGG